GAGGGAATTGTAAATGGAAAGAAACTGGAAGTGAAATCTGCATTTAAAAGTGATTCCAGTTCTTCAGCCAAGCCTCCTCTTCAAATCACTCAGGCTTCTCCTGCTGGGAACAGGGCCCCAGGGTCTCCCTGTTGGCAGGAAAGGGATGCCAAATCCAACCCTGTCACAGAGGAAGCCCAAGGGCCAAAGCAGTATAGACACAAGGATCTAAAAGATATGAAAGGCTGGCCAAAATTCCAGGAGATCTTCATGCTCGCAGCTCGCCGTGGGGAGGAGGTGGATACACTCAAGGTAACTCTGAGCTTGTATCACACCCTGAGACTGCTGTGGGACCCCAGCACTTCACACTGAGCTCAAGCTCCTTTGAGGAAGTAGCAGAGCTGCTGCTCCTGGCCTGGGATAGGGGGAGAGTGTTGTGTGCCAATGTGGGGATTTGTCTGTATTGCATTTCCAGAGTTTTCTGTACAAAACTCTTATTTGGGGCTCTCCAAGAAGCAGCTTGCTCAGAACGATGACCACCCACCATTCATTCTTTCAGCTCCAGGGGTGCTGTAACTCACAACTTTTGTAACTCACACAGATGACTCTAGGGAGGAACCCTTTGGCAGAGCAGGAATTTCAGAGCTTCCCTTTCTCCTTTCCATACCAAAAATGCCAAACTGCTGCCCTGGTGCCAGACCAGCAGCAGTGCCCTCGCTGCAGAATGAGCATGGGGTGTTGGCACCGTGCAGGTCGTACCTGTCAGCTGATGGGAGTGTGTGTGTTGTGCCCACAGCAATACCTCCTGATGCAAGCCAAGCCAGGCCCCTGGGAGTTCCACAGCGACGTCCTGACCAGCCAGTCACCTCAGGAGGTCTGTGACAACATCATCAGGGAGAAGGTCCTGGAGTACCTGCCCTTGGAGGTGCCCTATGGCGTGACTCAGGTGGGAAGTTGAGCACAGGTAGATCTGCCCACGAGGTGTTTAACTGGAAACATTGGACTGTGTGATGAGAATCCCTTCATTTGGATCTGTGGAATCTGGGGTGACCTGGTACTCGCACTTCAGGTGCTGTGAGGCCCTCTGCGTGCTTGAGGGGGCCAGCCTAATGTGCTGGGATCTCCGAGGATCTCTGTGGTTCCTGAGGGTTTTCCAGGAATGCTAAGTGAACTCTTGCTGTTGCAGGTGACAGAGATGTGGGAGGAAGGAGAATGTGGGGAGCTCCTCATCGCGCAGAACCTCTTGGTCCCAAGGAAGTCTCATATGGTGAGTGATGGAAGAGACTTGGGGTGCTGGGGAGGGTGAAGGGAGGTTCCCTTATCCCAAGCATATGTGCATCCTTGGTGTGGTTCCCCTCTCCCCCTCCTTTGGGAAGAGCCACATGCCTGACACAGGGTGTTCAATAGCAGCTTACACATCCCTGGAGTAGCCCATGGTTTGATCTTGGAATTTCCCTCACTGCTACATCCCTTCCATTGCTTCTGTGGCCGCCCTGTCCCCCTGGGGCGATTCCTCCCTGCAGCTGGGCGATGTAAGGATGGGTCTGATGATGTCCTCTCTGGGTTTTAATGCAGAGGATGTTGATTGGAAGAGGAGGTAAAGTCATCAGCAAGATTGCTCAGGAGGCTGGGCAGGACCTGATGAACGCTTTCCTGTGTGACGTCCGCTTGAAGCTCAGGGTGGAGGTGAAGAGCTGAGTGTTTTGAGAGCCCCTGAACTCTCTGATCATGTGGAAAAACAGATCCCTGTGTTCCCCTGTGGGTATCTTGTCCAGAAACAGAGGATGATGGAATTAATACAGTGGGCTGAAGTGGAATATATTATTCTTTGAGAGAATGGCCCAAACTGAAAATAAATCTTCAGACCCTCTACTGCACCTGGCCTTGTGGAAGCTGGGATGGACACCAGAGAACCAGCTGCACTCATGGTTCTAGTACTGCATTTATAGAGCTGCCATCCACCTCTTTGGGGCTGTGTCTTGCATTCTTGGTCACAGGTTTTTATACCTGGAAGTTCAGGACCATCTCCTGTCTTTTAGCAGACACAGGGTTGCAGTGAAGGATGATTAGCACACCTTTGTCTTCTCAAGGCTGAACCACTCCAGTGTGATCACACAGGAGGAACAGGCTACTGCAGCCCACACTATGGTTTTACATCGGCTTTGCTCCCTGCCCTGTTGAAGTTCATGGGTGTAGGGGGTCAGTTTAAGGAATTTACTGGCAGCTGAAACATCTGTAATGCCTGAAGGGCTTGTCTGTCATGCAAAACCAGCGTGGACCCCCTTTTTAGGAATTTGAATACTTTATTGCACCAGAGTTACTTCAAAGCCCTTATTCTTGCACCAGGGCTGCAGATACAAACATAGAAGCTGTTGCAGCTGAAGAAAAGCCCAAAGTGGGAACAGCAGCAGGTTCTGCAGCCTGAGGGTAACAAGGTTTGGGGATGGAGAATAGCTGGCACAGGTGAGGCTGGAGGAGCAGGGCTGGGCCCGTGAAAGAGATGCTGTTACTGTTCTGAGCTGCTGAAGGATTCTGGAATGTGAGATCATCTGAAAACTGGGTTGGGAAGCCTCTATAGAATGTCCTTCCTTGTTTCCCAAGATGTAGGGGCTGCTGTGGTCCCTTGAATACTGCTCTCCAACTTTTGTATTTTCCTTGCAATAAAGTGAGATCCCAGCACAAGTCATTGTTCTCTCCTTTCTTCCTCCATGGCAGCCAGACCTCACAGCCATCACTTCCCCTCTGTTTTATTCCAACCCAAAGCTTTTATGTCATTCCCAACTGAGCTTATATCCCATTTCCTGAGCTGTGGCATCTGAAGGTTATGCCCTGTGGGGGGAAAAAGCTGGGTAAGTGCGGTTGGAGGTGTCTCAAAGGCTGGGGTACAGGAGCAAGGCTGTCCCCTCTGTGTGGCCACGTCATGAGAGCCTCAGGATTGCACTGTGCTGCCTCAGAGCCTCATCCCAGGCTACTTCCAGCCAGGAGAAGGGATGGATCTGAGGACCCAGAGCAACAGCCAGTCCTGGAGGCGATGGAAATGTGCCCAGCATGGGAAGGGGTGAGTTTTTGTGCCTTCCTGACTTGCAGCTCCTTAACGAGCTTTGAGTGTTAGGTTAATTATCCCAGTGCAAGACAATAGTGTGTGAGTGCAAACTGCCCCTTCCCCAGTGGGGAACAAACCTTCCCCGAGGGCAGGGGGCTCTGACTGACCCCAGGCGATGGGGGGGTGGGAGGCACTGCTGAGGCCCCCTTGGTGTGGGCAGCATTGGGGCCGTGGTGGAACCCCCTGTGTGTCCCCACCTTGATCCTCCGTGTCCCTTTTCTATGTCTCCCGATGTCCCCCCATATGTCCCCCCGCCACGTCCCCCCCTCCCCAAGGCCCTGCACGACCCGCGCTCTCCGCCAGGGGGCGCCGCGGCGCTGCCCCCTCTACTCCCCCCCCCCCCCCCCCCCCCCCCCC